CGCCCACCCGGCGGCGAGAAGAGGCCGCGGGGCGCGCCGCGACACCCTTGCCTCAAGGAGCGGTCCTCGCGGGCCTGTGACGGGTGGAAGGGACGCATAGGCCTCACCTGCTTTATGTACATGGTTCCGCGCCCCTAGCCGGGAGAAGGCCTCCCCCGCGAGAAGCAACAGCGCGGCCGCGGGGTCAGGTGAGGCGCCTAGGAGACCCCTCCCCCCAAAGCGCCGCTCGCTCCCCTCCAGCCAAACAAAATGGCGGCGCCCGTGGAGGCGGAGTCCGCGCCTCGGACGGAACCACCCTCGCGGTCCCAAGGAGCGTAGGGGGAGTCAGGGGATGGTTTGCTCATTGTTTTGGGCGAAAGGAGCCCCTACGTTTCTCTAGGTGAATTTCACTTGATTCCTCAATTTTTACATGAACTTTTCCTGAGACTTAGTCTGAAGCTTCATTCAGAAAAGCCTTGATCGTGAGGTTTGCCCGTATTCCCTCCGAGTGCGGAGCCAATGGTTGCGGCCACAAGGCGGGGAAGGTTCGGCGCCAAAGCCAAGAGTGAGAGTCAGTAGTGCTGCGGGCCGGGAGTCACGTGGTCTCGGGCTGTTTAAAATTGCGGAGCCCGCGCGGGCGGCGTCTGTCTCCGAACCCGCGGAATGCTAGACCTGCCGGAGGAATTCGGTGTGCGGAATCCCTGCTCCTCCATTATTTTCTCTCTCTTTAGGGACTATTAGAAATTTAGAACGGCCCCCACTGGCTCCGGACCGCGCACTCGCAGGACAGCCCCAGATGGACTTGATGCTCGAAAATTAGTTTTAATAATGTCATAATTAATACCCTGGGAGCTGTTACTGTTCTGCCGTTTGCTATATAAAGCTAGGCAGACTTGGACAACTGCAACAAAAAGATTTAGATAAGATTAATAGCTCCCCCCCCCCGCTTTTAATAACAACCTAAAAGATAAACTAGGTGCTAGTGGCAGCCCTGGGTGTATCTGATCTGTTTTCAGTCGTAGGGGAAAAGCATTTGGTTAGAAATTGCAGCTCTGGACCGCTGTAAAAATACCTGCCATTCAATAGCATTCAAGTTGGTGGATCGTCGCCACCCTTCCCGCTGCCATGGGCAGTTCCATCCCTAATTATTCCTGTACTAAACTCTTTCTAATAGCCTCCTAACTTCCCTGTCAGCACCTCTTAGTGCTGGCAGAATTCTTTATCAAACCTCAATCAAATTCTATTCAGTCTTGGCTTAAAAAACAAGACTCATTGAACGTTTCTCTGGGATTAGCATTTCCTTGCTGTTCATTCCTATTTGGATTAATTATTGGATTATTAATACTGAAGTTTTAAGCCTCCATTTACTAGCCTATAAAATGACGGTGATAGAACTACTTCATATTTAGAATTAAAAACCAATGTATAAGACAATTCAATGTACCTGAATTGTATAGGTATGTAGATGAAAGTATGGTCACTAGAACGTTTATGATGGTCTTCGCAGTGATGAGATTTTTACTTTCTCAGACGTATTAAGTGAATATTATACAATCAGTTTGTATAATTTATACAGGCAGAAAAAAAGTAAAGATTGGCAAAAAACCTAAAATATAAAAAGGTGATTTTGAGAGTTTAACATGCCTGTCTTAGTTATATTTATGTATTTATTGTCTGTCTCTACTACAATATAAATCTAACAGAAGGGATTTTATCTTGATTCTATTTCTTTAGTAACTTGTCCCTAGAAAGTACTTAATAATTACTTAATGAAAAATTCAGGAAAGCAAACTACTTATTACAGTTCCTGGTTCGTTTATGCTCACTACTGATACTTAAAGACTTCCCATGGCCCCATCTCACCCACCTCCCGTTATCATGGCAGTATCAAAACATAGACACACAACAATCATAATCCTTTATGTTTGTGTAACTCTTTACCAGCTTCAAAGGCTATGAGTATGATCTCCCTTGCATTTTTCTCACTATGAAGTTGTGAGGAATAAGAGTGCTTATTACTTCACATTAGGCTAGAAGCTCAGGGGTCTTATGCTGACTCCATCTTACAAATTTTGCAACTTGGGGACACACCATTTTATTGCATGACCTTAGTTTTCCTATAATTAAAATGGGAGCACTTTTGCCCTCCAGATACAAAGACTGCTTCAACAGAGAGTAGTGAACAAGCAAACAAACAAAAAATAAATTTTAAAACAGCAACAGAAAAACCAGTGTTGTGCGTGAATATGCTGAACTTCAGGAGTCCCTTGTCACATCCCAGCTCTTCTATTTGCTAATTATATGACCTGGGAAAGATTAATATTTTGGAACCCCTGTTTCCTCATCTGTAAAGTGGGGATGATAAAGTTACATACTAAAACTTCTGTGCAGATAAATTAAGATGATTTATGTGAAACAAGAGATAATACTAGCTATTCTGGTTCGTAGTTGATATCCAAGCTCGTATCCAGCATGTCCCTGGGAAAAGACAACAAACAGTTAAACTGAAAGGTCAAAACGCCAGAGGAGAACTGACCAAGAGTTTCTGGGACCCCTCATCATTCACTGAATGGATGTTTACTGAGCATCTCTGGCATGAGTATGTCTTACCAGTGTCAGGAAGAAATAGAACTTTTCCTATACTCTCTTAAGAAATAGGGGATCTTGGAATTGAACAGATTAACAACAACAACAACAACAACAACAACAACAACAACAAACATTTCAATCATGTATGTACAGGAGTTCACAAAAAAATTCGATTCAAGGAGGTGGTTAGAATTTGGAGTTGATATACCACTTTAATAGATGAAGGGGAGAAGGACACTAAAGGGAAAACAAATTATTAGAAGGGGGTAAGAGGGAGAGAAAGAGCACTTCAAGGGAAAACAAATGACTTTTTGTGCCTTTAGGAGAACTGGTGGGAGGAGATATGCTAGTTTTTGTGACATTGTTTGGGTGTTAACCTCAGTGAGGAGAATCAGATTTCTTTGGATATTCTCAGGGAGAGGACTGACAACCTGAGTTATTTTGAGCTCTTGGGAGGCAGATAAGAGATTTCAGGAACTCAAGTACTCAAAGGTCAAAATAATTTTTATGCCATAGTGGCGGATTCTGGACCCCTTCAGGAGGGCATCCAGAGTACACTTGCTGCTTCCTCTGACCCAGGTCTGAGGGACATGATATCAGTACAGTGGACCAGCATCATATTCTGCTCAGTGATGAGAGGATTGAAGACTCCACGTTGTATTATGACAGGGAGCAGAAGAGATAACATGGCCCTAGAGTATTAAAACCTTGAGTGTGAATTGCTGCAGGCACCGTGGGATGCTCTACTCCTTCCAGATGAAGATTAGAAATAATGCATTTTGCCGGATAATAGGTCTACAATAAGTGCCAATCTGAGTTGATCTCTTCTATTAAGGATCCCACATCCAGCCCTGCAGCTGAGTTACCTCTTGCTTAAGTGCTGTTAGTCCACTGTCTGTTGGGATCAATCTGGTTTTTGCAAGGACCTAACTGGTGAATTAAATGAGGATTTAATAGGGACCACCACCTCTCATCCTTTAAACCTTTTGAGACTGGCACTCATCTCCACCATCCAGCGCAAGATGTGGTACTGCCTCTAGTTTACTATCTTGGCTGGATTTAAGGCAATTTTAGGGAATTCCACTTAGCCCTCTCTTAGTGTAATGGCTCTTCATTCACAGATCTGGAAACCAGTGTGGGATTGTTACCTGAAAACTGGGCTTGCCACTTGATGGGTGTCAAGCCAAAAGGCACAACTGAGGCAAAGATTGAGAGAAGGAAGGACTTACTACTTGCAGCAAGTAAGGAGAACACCGGGGATCTTTCCCAAAGTAGTGTCTCCCCAAACAGCAAAACTGGGGAAGTTTTAAGGTGAGGGTACATGTTTATTTATAAAGAGGCTTGGGCAGTGTATGCATATTCAAGAAGGGGCTTACTCAGGGGAAAATTCAGCATAGAATTGGGGCAAAAGACAACAGAGTCCAAGCGTTAGTTGATTGAAGTCACGAGCGTTAGAAAAAGTCAACATCATCATCCGTTAGGGTCCAGTTGATCTGGTGGTTGAGGCTTTGAAGAGAGCTTAAATTTTGCAAAACAACTCAAGAAAGTACTTCTAATCTTTACCATTGAAGCAGAACTGGTAGTCTTTACAGCTGATTTATTATCCTTGCTATTACTTCTCTTGTTGGATAACAGTCTTTTGTTCTTTGTTCCCTTAAGACCATTGTTACTGGGATCTGTTCAAGGGCAAGCTTTGTGGCCAGGCTTAGATCAAAAACAGCTTAGGCCTAAAATGGCATCTCTTTATCAGGTTCTTTTCCTCTGGGGGGCCCCTACCCTGTCTGCTTACAGGATTTCTGTCAGTTGCTAAGGATATCTTTCGTGATTGTGGACTCATGGGCCAGGGAAATGACCAAAAGGGTGAGTTTGTAGACCCATTGCAACCCATGTTAAACAAACATGGACCAGGACTTCATTTATCAGCTGATCTCTGTACACTCAACTCTATCAGGGGAGCCAGAAACATGTTTGAGCTCTCAGGTGTCAGTGTCAACTCAGATCCTGTCTAATGGTGTTGTGGAACCCCAGGGAGGCCAAACAAAATGTTGGTAATTGAAACACAGAAAGATTTATTTGTAAGGGCCAAGCAAGAAGAACGGGGCAGCTTGTGCTCAAAAATTCAAACTCCTCAGTGGTTTTCTGGGAAGGGTTTTTATAGGCAAAATATGGGGGGGGAGGGCTGCAGGGTGTGTGACTTTCCTCTGATTGGTTAGTGCTGTGGTAACAGAGTGGTGTTCCAGGAATCTCAAATCATCACCCTTCTGGTTCCAGCCAATTTGGGGTCCATTGCTTGTGCTTAGCCTTAAATTATCATTCTCGACCTGAGTGGGAGCCTTAGTTTGTATAGAACTCAGATGTATATCAGATTATTGTGTAGATCCCTTGAGAAGGAACCAGGACCCTGCTCCATGGCTGCACTATTGTTTCTTGACTACTCTTCCTTTGTTTCTGCATTTTCTCACTCCCCTAATTAGTAACTGTTTGAATCTGCCCTTTGGAACTCATATGTGTAAAAGGTCTAAGCCTTTTTCCTACAAACAAGAAACTAGGGACATGGAAAGACTCACAGGGTCCTGCCTGGTTTTAATAGCATTCAAAAGATCTGGGTGTTGCCTTTTTCCGAGATTCAGTGACTCAGATAACTTTCCAGGTTAGATTGGAGGAATAGATACTGAATATACTTAAGGGAGGAAT